CAGCAGTATGATGACCCTCATTTACTCATCCTTAAGGACACAGTGTGGGACGGTGGTGCCAAGCAGGTTACAGTTGGAGATGATGGGGTTTTAACGATGCAGGGTCGTATTTGTGTGCCCAATATAGATGGGCTTTGAGAGTTGATCCTTGAGGAGGCCCATAGTTCACGGTATTCTTTTCATTCGGGTGCCGCCAAGATGTATCAGGACATGCGACAGTATTATTAGCGGAGGAGGATGAAAAAGGATATAGTTGCATATGTAGCTCGATGTCTGAATTGTCAGCAAGTAGAGTACGAGTATCAGAGACCTGGTGGATTGCTTCAGAAGTTAGAGATTATGGAGTGAAAGTGGGAGCGTATCACTATGTATTTTGTTGTTGGACTCCGACAGACTCAGAGGAAGTCCGACGCGGTATGGGTCATTGTGCACCGGTTGACCAAGTCAGCACATTTCATTCCTTTGGCAGTTACCTATTCTTCAAAGCGGTTGGCTGAGACTACATCTATGAGATCGTCCACCTTCACGGTGTGCCGGTGTCTATCATTTCATATCGAGTTACGTAGTTCACCTCACACTACTGGAGGGCAGTACAGCGTGCGTTGGGCACGCAGGTTATGTTAAGCATAACAATTCATCCTCAGACGGATGGATAGTCCAGCGCACGATTCAGATATTGGACGACATGCTTCGCGCGTGTGTTATGAATGTCAGGGGTTCTTGGGACTAGTTCTTGCCACCTGCGGAGTTTTCTTATAACAACAGCTACTAGTCGAGCATTCAGATAGCCCCTATGAGGCATTATATGGGAGGTGGTGTCGTTCACCAATTGGATGGTTCGAGCCGTGGGAGGCTCGATTGTTGGGTATAGATTTGGTACAGGATGCCTTGGACAAGGTCAAGATTATCCAGGATCAACTTCGCACAGCTCAGTCTAGGCAAAAGAGTTATGCTGATCGTGGAGTTCGTGATGTTGCATTCATGGTTGGAGAGAGAGTGTTGCTCTGTGTTTCACCCTTGAAGGGCGTGATGAGTTTCGATAAGAAAGGCAAGTTGAGCCCTAGGTATATCGTATCATTTGAGATTCTTGAGAGAGTGGGTGAGGCGGCCTACAAGATCGCATTGCCACCTAGTTTATCAGGTGTCCATCCGGTGTTCCATGTGTTTATGCTCTGGAAATATCACGGTTATTCGTCCCATGTGCTAGATTTCAGCTCAGTCCAATTGGACAAGGATTTGACTTATGAGGAGGATCCGGTGGTTATTATAGCTCGGTAGGTTCGACAGTTGAGATCAAATAGTTATCCTTCAGTTCGAGTGCAGTAGAGAGGTCAGCCAGTCGAGGCAGTATTACTGGTGGAGGAGGATGAAGAAGGATATAGTTGCATATGTAGCTCGGTGTCTAAATTGTCAGCAAGTAAAGTACGAGCATCAGAGACCTGGTGGCAAGATTCAGAAGTTAGAGATTCTTGAGTGAAACTGGGGCGTATCACTATGGATTTTGTTGTTGGACTCCCACAAACTCAGAGTAAGTTCGACGCGGTATGGGTCATTATGGACCGGTTGACCAATTCAGCACATTTCATTCCTGTGGAAATTACCTATTCTTCAGAGCGGTTGGCTGAGATCTACATCCGTGAGATCGTCCGCCTTCACGTTGTGCAGGTGTCTATCATTTTTGATCGAGGTACGCAGTTCACCTCACACTTATGGAGGGCACTACAGCGTGCGTTGGGCACGCAAGTTAAGTTAAGCACAGCATTTCGTCCTCAGTCGGACGGATGGTCCAACGCATGATTTAGATATTGGAGGACATGCTTCGCGCGTGTGTTATGGATTTCGGGGGTTCTTGGGACCAGTTCTTTCCACTTGTGGAGTTTTCTTATAACAATAGCTACTAGTCGAGCATTCAGATGGCCCCCTATGAGGCATTATGTGGGAGGCGGTGTCGTTCACCAGTTGGATGGTTCGAGCCGCGGGAAGCTCGATTGTTGGGTACAGATTTGGTACAGGATGCCTTGTACAAGGTCAAGATTATTTAGGATTGACTACGCACAGCTCAGTCTAGGCAAAAGAGCTCGTTTTGCATGCGTAGTCCGTGCCTTTTTCCGGAAGGCTTTTATGTGAAAAATTGATTCAAATGTGAAATCATGCTTTAAAAACTCATTTGAGTTGACTTCAGACATTATTTTGAGCAAACGGACCCGGATCTATGTTTTATTATTGGGGGGGTCCGTATCCTAATTTGGGACTTGGGCGTATGCCCGGGATCGAATTCGGAGGTCCCTAGACTAATTTGTCGCAATTTGTTGTGAATTTGAAGTTTACAGGTATAAGGAAATTTCTAGTTTGACCAATGTTTGACTTTGTTGCTACCGGGTCCAAATTTTTGTTCTGGAACTTGGTATGGGTTCACTAATGTATTTATGACTTGTCTGCAAATTTTGGTGCAAAACGAACGTGATTTGACGTGATTCGGATGTTCGGTTGTTAAAATAAAAGTTCTTAAGTTTTATTAAAAAAATTATTTGTTGTGGTGTCTGATTCGTAGTTCTAGGTGTTATTTTGATATTTTGATCGCGCGAGCAAGTACGTATAATATTTTTGGACTTGTGTGCATGTTTGTTTTGAGCCCTGAGAGCTCGGGTGAGTTTCGGATAGGCTACGAATGTTTTCGAACAAGGGGTGGTTTTGATCAGTGCGAACGCAAGGTTTTGGACGCGAAGGCGGAGCGGTGGGGGGCTTCCATTCACGAACGTGGCTGCACCAACGCGAACGCATGTCACTAGAGAGGCGGGGGCTGGGAGATGAGTTTACTCTACGCGAACGCGATCCCAGGCTCGCAAAGACGGAGGTGAGGCGGGCTAAACCTACGCAAATGCGTGGAGTAACTTGTGATCGCGTAAGCCAATCGGGTAATGCCTTCGCGAACGCGTCACGTTTCTCACGATTGCGATGAACACCTGATGCCTAGACATTAAAATTCTAAAAGACGTGATTTCACCCATTTTTCATCACTTTACATTTGAGCTCAGCCTAGAGGCGATTTTGAAGAGAAAATTCATCACCAATTCATAGGTTAATATACTCTAACTCATTTTCTTCCATTTCTAACATCGCCCATTAAATTTCTAGCCTTAATCTTTGTTCTTTCATGGTAGAAAACTAGGGAGTTAGGAAGAAATGGGGGGGGGGGGGGTGTTTTGCAAATTCGGGATTTAGACCTCAATTTGGGATCGGATTTCAAAACTAATTACATAATCGGGCTCAGGGTGAATGTGTAAATGTGTTTTGGTCCGAATCACGGGTTTTGACCAAGCAGGGGTCGACTTTTTTTGACTTTTTGGAAAAAGTTTAAAAATCCTAGCTTTATGTATTGTAATTGATTCCCTTAGCATTATTTTACGTTATCGAGCCGATTTTTGTTAGATACGATTAGTTTGGAGGCGGATTCTAGAGGAAAGGCCCTAGTAAAGCTCTGAGTTGACTGCGGCATGAGGTAAATGTTGGGTTTAACCTTGATTTGAGAGAATTATGAATCCTTGAGCTATGTGTTATGTGAAATCCATGTGTGCAGCGTATATGCGAGGTGACGAGTGTATATACGCCGCCAAAGTAACTGTTTTCGTATTTTTCCGCGTTTCATTAATTATTTCACCATATGCCTTATCTGTTACATGCTTTAAATACTTCCATGATTTACTGCTACTTGCCTTAAATGACTTAATTGTACCCGTCGTTGTCATTTATTTGAATTGTCATGCTGTTTAGTATTCATTAGTATGGAGAGGGGGTAAGGGAGAATTGTGTTGTACGGTGGAATCAGGTTGCACGTCGCAACAGGAAATAAGGGTGTATTTATATGGGAAATAAGTGTGATTTTTAAAACTGATTCTGATATTATATGGTGGGATCAGATTGCGCGCCGCAACATATATTTATTTATTTATTATTGTTGAGATTATCATAGTGGAATAAGGGAGGAATGTGTTGTGCGGTGGGATCGGGTTGCGCGCCGCAACAATCAATGTGTTTCTATTTTCTTATTGTATTGTGTTGGCTTTGGTATTTTTATACGAGACTCTAAGAATTGGTATTTCTGGCATTTACTGTTTTTTCTTCGGAGGTTGAGTACTTTCATGTGTTAACTGCTTTAATTCATTCCGCATTTTCATTCTTGCCATTATTTTTATGTTACGTACAGGTTATTGTAAGTGACTGCCTTAGGCTCAGCACTTACAGAGTACATGGGGTATGTTGTACTCATACTATACTCTGCATATCTTGTGCAGATTTTGGAGTCGGTCCCAGCGACGGTTCACAGATTGCTTGGGTCGGCTATTGAGTGGAGACTTGAGGTGCAGCTGCTCGGCGTCCGCAGCCCTAAAGTCCCCTTCTTATTTATCTTAGCTGTGTACTTTCCCTCAGACAACTTTTTTTCTATTCAGACCTTTATTTGTACTACTCTAGTACCTCGTGCACTTGTGACACCAGATTCGGGGATGTATGTTTATATTTCGGTTGTTTTGGTTTTCCGCACTTTATTTCGGTTCCTTCTCAATTATTTTAGTAATTGGCATAATTTAGATTTGATTTTTTATAAAAGTGGCATAAAATTTATCTAACATTGGCTTGCCTGGCAAGAGAAATGTTAGGCGTCATCATGATCCCGAAGGTGGGAATTCCGGATCGTGACAAAAGGTTTACATACACGTTGTTTGCAATAGCTCTCCGTTTTGTTTTAAAAATAATAATTTGGGAAGACTTGTAACAGCTTGTGTCCATGATTTTCAAATGGACGTAATTAAAAATTAATACTATTCATCATGAGAGCCGTATTTTTATGTTTAATGATTCTTCACTGAGAAAGACAAGAAGAAAGGACGCAGTCTCCAGCGTTCTTCTGGCCATACCGCCTCCCCCAAAAAAATAAAAATTCTAGCTGCTAGCTTTTCACGATATATTTATCCTCTACATTACTTATTATAATTTCTCTCTCTCTCTCTTTCTCTCTCTCTCTTTCTTTCTCTCTGAACACACTCTCACACACACACACAAGAAACGGATAGAAAAAGATCAAATTAGCTTAAAAATCAACTAGTTAATTAATTAATTAGTGAAATCAAATTAACAAGAGAGATCATGGGAAGAGCTCCTTGCTGTGACAAGAACAGTGTGAAGAAAGGGCCATGGTCCCCTGAAGAAGATGCCAAGTTGAAGTCATATATTGACCAACATGGCACTGGTGGCAACTGGATTGCTTTGCCTCCAAAAATTGGTATACTAAAATCCCGAATTCTTGATTTCCTTATCTTACTTTCTTGATGAAACTCAACATATATCATACCTATTAATTGGATGATTTATAGGATTGTTTTGTTTTCTAAAACATTATTAGGCCTGAAAAGATGTGGAAAGAGCTGTCGACTTAGATGGTTAAATTATCTGCGACCAAATCTCAAGCATGGTGGATTCTCTCAAGAGGAAGATAACATTATTTTGAGCCTCTATATTAGTATTGGAAGCAGGTTATTATACTGATCCCATTTTATTCTAATTATGTCATGTATTCCTTTCATGTTTATGTTTCTATAAATGATTTGTAACTACACCTTTTAGTTAAGGTTTAGTTTGACACGGATCTAGGGTTGCAAAAAGAATTACTGTTCAATTTTTTGTGACATTACTAATATTTGTACGGAGACAAAAAAATTCTTCGAATCTGTTTTTTCTCAAGTTCTTCTTAAATATTTTGAATTATTAACTTTAATTTACTGACTCATATATGACTTTTCATGCACTTAGTTTTCTGGTATGTAAATATAATTTCGGAAACCTTGAAGAATCTATATATGCAAGAAGTCACATAAAAACATGTGTTTTGACCCTTATATTCCAAACCCTTTAAAATAAAATGGGATGGGGGAACTAAACTATATACATATAATATATATGACCTTGGCTAATGTTATATGATGAATATCAGGTGGTCTATTATTGCAGCACAACTTCCGGGAAGAACTGATAATGACATAAAGAACTACTGGAACACCAAGCTGAAGAAGAAGTTATTCGGAAAACAGCGCAAAAATCTTAGAGGTAAAAGCCAAAAACAAGGATCAAGAAAAGGGAGAGATCAAATGAATAGCTCCATGGATTCTCTCAACAATATTGACACAAACCCTAGTTGGTCTGAGTTTCCTATCTTGCAATCAATACCATACTCAAATGATGAACCACGTTACAGTAACGATCATGCTTCTATTAGAAAGTTGTTGATGAAACTTGGAGGAAAATTCTATGGTGTTGATGATGATAAACCAATGAATGGAGAACCAAATCCTCAATATGATCCCATGGGTAATTCTTTGAGGCATCCATTATATTACAATTCTATAAATTTGATGTCTTATGCTCCAATGGGTGTCATGAACACGTTGAATTCTTCTTTCACAAATTCTCATGAGTACAACGTGGACGGGAAAGCAGTGTGCTGGGGCGACACTGACACTGAGAAACGAAAGCTAGGGGAGCGAATGGGATCAGATACCTCAGTAGTCCTAACACTAAATGATGGATGCAATTCTACAATTGGGCTTGAGCATATGGCGTACAGTGATCCACATAAGTTAGATGGTCTTGAAATGTTACACGAGGATATGCTTAATAATGAACCTTACACTAGTTTGGGAGGAAGCTTGGACTGGAAAGATATGAACAATTTGGTGTTTCCCTTTCCTCCTCTAGTTGTTTCCAACAATGAAGGTCATCAACATCGCACTTTGTTTGAAGAAGGGGCACTTAATGAGCTTAGGTACCCTAGAGATCAATAAATATTTTTGTAAATTTCGTTTTACATTGTATATTTTCTTGGAGGATAGAGACCTGGGGATTAATGTGTTTGTTGGAGAAACCCAAATAAATTTGTCTCCTCAAAATATTGAATCTTTTGACTTGGTTATTTGACTATTAATAGCTAGTTATTATAGTCAATCATGTTTAAATTAAAATTAGCTGACCCATATGTGTCTACCTTGAAAATGATCCTCTGATCAGTTCAAATTGTATTGAGATGTATGTTACATTTAAGAGTTTAACTTTTATACACGCACGACTATTATAATATTTTTAAGCTATCAGGTTATCTAAAAAATAACTATATGCATGTATTAATATATAATGAGAGAGATTAGTAACATGAAAACACACTACAACAGATTAGGTCAATACATATAAGTTAAATCCTACTTCTAAAGGTTTCTTTCATAAATGCAAAGAGCATATCGCAGTGTTGAGCTTTGATCATCTCATCTAAAAGCTTAATTTGTTGGAGATAAGACACTTTTATTTACTATTAAATTTGTCTTCAACACACACGTCAAAGTGAGTTTGATTTTTTTTTATGAGCCAAGCATGCGGAAAAGTCTTTTCGATACATAATGAGTGGCGGTGAGAGTAGATCGAACCCAGAATCTCTGGCTGCTTTAATAACATGTTGAAGCGTATAACCATATCATCTAAAACTTTAAGTTGTTAGAGAGACCACGCTCTTATTTACTCTTAAATTTATCTTCAACATGCAGACTATTGGTTGTTTCCGGGCCGCTAACTGGTGTTGCAGAATTATAAAATGCTGCTATGTGAACTTTATATATATGTTCTTGCATATGAACGCTCAGAGGATGTCAGCCACAAAATTCCTTGAAACTCTCATGAAAACAGTCCTTGTATTACAGATATTCTTCAGTCATTTTGGCCTTAAACTGCTGGTTTTTAGTAAGCCAGGTATTTTGCAGAAGAGCTTCATTAATTTAATACCTTTTTCAATTACTGAATGGGATAAATTAAATTTGTCATCGTTCATGGTGGAAAATAAATACTCCTTCCGTTTCATATTAAATGAGGTACTTTCCTTTTTAGTCTGTTCCAAAATAAATGACATATTTCTAAATTTGGAAATAATTCAACTTTAAACTCCTCATTTTACCCTTAATGAGAAGCTTTTATAACCACACAAACATGGCCCCACAAAGCTTTACCCCTTAAGCTTTTAAGACCACAAATTTCAAAAGTCTTTCTTTTTTTCCTTAAACTCCGTGCCGAGTTAAACTATCTCGTTTAATTTGAAACGGATAGAGTAATATCACATCAATAAATGAACTGACCTTTTAAAAAAAAAGCTGACCTTTTTAACCACCAAGACTTTAGGTACAGAAAATAATTTTTTTAATAAAAAAAAAATGAGTCTTTCTAGAATATGTCAATACGTAATTAGTCAGTAATGTGACATAATTTGTTTTGCGTGGTTAAAAGCAATTCATCCTAGCTGTTTGGATTTTGATAGTAGAGTTGACCTCAATGACTATTATGAATAACACACGAATGATGTATATATATGTTTGGCTCAAAAGTTAACGATGTACTTTGTAAGCGATAAAACAATCAAAAAATAGAGAAGGGGTAAATCGTAATCAAATATAATAAGCCTAGAGATGCAAAGATGATAATATTGTTGTAGATCTAATATTGCAAAGTGACAATGTATGTTAATAAGATATTTTCGTCAGAAGTAGTGATATAAAGAGAGAAAGACAAAATGAGAGAGTTGTATTAGATCAGATGCCCCTTTTTACAATGTGGAGGTCTCCTTTATATAATAGGAGACCTTCCTCGAAAGAATCAAAAAGTTACAGAGATAGGTAACGTCTCCCTAGTATAGACACTGAGTTCTAAACGACGTCGCTTTCACGGCCGAGTCGTACCCGCTACGTTGGTCGGCGTACACTCATTGGGCGTACCCACTGGCGTAGAGATACTGAGGGTCAAATTTGACCCTATACAGTTAGTCCCTCCGCTCGTTGGAGACGCGTTTGGTGGGCGTCTTCGGCGGGCGGAAATGCGAACCTCGTCTTAGGAGAATTTGACCTCGACCGGGGGCGAAAATATGAACGAAGTGAAACATATGACGCTGTTGAGCCGCTGACGCGTGGCTTCCTTTTTGGAATGATGTCATCGCCTGTATGCATCATCATTATATTTGCCCCCGAGGCGGTTTAAAGGATGAAGTGACGTTTTGGTTTCCGGCGCACGTTTTGAATCATGACTCTTCGATTCCTGTGCAGTTTATCCTTATAAGTATGAGAAAGGTTTGATCTGATTCCACTTTCAAGCCTCTGAAAAGTATTTTCTGATACACCCTTTTGCCTTTCTTTCCTGTAACCGTTATTTCGTGAGGGACTTTCCCACTTCCGTTGAAACCACACTTCCTATTGTCAGTGCTTCGTTTCTCAAGTAGTATATCATGGCAAAACGCGGACAAAATAATAAAAAGGCCAAGGATAATGCCCCGTCTAGGGTTCCGCCATCTTCTAGTGGTGAAGGGGAAAAGGCGGAGAAGGCCCTTGTTCCTCTCAGCGTAGACAATGTCCTTCCGAAGGAGATGCACGTTCGCAGGGATTTTCCGACTAAAAGCCCTGATCTTCCCTGGGAGCACAGCGTTTTGCTACAATCCCATTTAGACGAGCTGCGAGAGACGCACCGTATTCCGGACCACGTGGACATGGTTCCGGCCGGGACGGATTATGCCAATGTGCACCGGCCTGGATATTGCGCCTTCTACGAGTACCCGTTCTTGATCGGTTACGACCTTCCAGTCTATACTCTGGCGGAGGAGCTTTGCCGTTTTTACAATGTGTGTCCGGCCCAGCTTACTCCTTATACTTTGAAGGTGTGCCGTATCATGACCACCTATGCGGCCAGGGCTGGGTGCAGCGTCTCAGTCCACCACCTCTTACAGTTGTTCAGCGTTGGTTACCTGAGGGGTACCATGCTGCAGTTGAAAGGTCGTGGCGCAAAGGGCTTGGTCGTTCAAGCCGATGATAAGCCCAACCGCCGTTTTTGGCGTAAATATTTCTACATCAGGACGGAGCACCTGGTGTCGAATCCCGAGGGTTTCCCGGAAAAATGGAATCCAGAACGTAAGTATTTCTATTTGTAAATTTCAGTGCCGCTTGCGCTTTCGACCATACGGCCATTGTGACCTTTGTTTTTCTTTCTTCTCTTTTTTATTCGCAGCGAGGGCTTCTCCACCCCAGCTCGTTGATGACATTAAATCGTGGGTGGGAAGAATAATACCCTATGCGGAGGAGTGCCGTACCTGGGCTGCCTTTCTTCGACAGTACGGCCCGTCAGGTAATTCTTTGGCTACGGTTTGGGGATTCCTTACGTGTTCGTTACCTGACTTGTTCGTGTTTGGCAGGTCGGAGCGCCCCTAAGAAGAAGAAAAAGAGAGTCGTCATCCTACCTGGGGCGGGGACCGATTCTGAAGGTGGATACATACCCTGCGGTTCGCCCAATGATGACGCCACGGAGGTTCCTCAACCGCTGCCTGTGGCGGCGTCCGCGAGGGGAGCGACTCCTTCGATGCCATCCCCTCGGGCTGTGGAGGGGTCCTCTAATAGTGAGGAGACGCCGGAAAGAAAGAGACGTCGGTTGATAACCAGCAAGGGGGTAGCCACGGTAGATGAGGGGGCGAGTGAGCCTCGTCGGGAGTCAAGCCCTGTTTTTATGGTGGATGCCATCCGTTCTGGGAGGTCGGCTCCCTAAAGGGGGGCTGTTCCTGACGCCAGGCCAACACGCATTCCGGAAATCGGCTCGTCGGCTGCCGTTGGAGGGGCAGATGATGGTGCCGAGAAGGTGGGCCCTGAGGTCGCCAGGCAGATGCAGAAGCGTCAACGCGGGGTCCGGCCCGTGTTGGGATGGCGGTAGGTAGATCCAACCGTCGAATTCTGATCCCGGGGGGGTATAACCTGTTGCAACACAGCGAGCAGGCCGCAGCGGATATGACCCTACTATGTGCGGCCGCTGAGCGTGAAACGTTACAAGGGGTTAGCGACGAGGAACTATCCCGGAGGGTTGCCGGTGCGGCCTTACAGGTACTTTTCGATTCTCTTCATGTATCGTAAAATAAATTTTGATACATGCTGACTTGCCCTTCATCCTTTTCCTCTCTTTTTTTTTAGACTCTCATTTTGGAGATAGAGAGGGGGCGGCGAGCGCAAAGGAAGGCAGCCACCTTTAACAAGGTGGTAAAGAAATATCGGCGGTGCCGAGTCAAGCATCAAGCGCTGGCGGACCTACTCAAGCAAGACCCGGAATTTCGGGTTTTTCGTGAGGGTTTGGAGGAGTCGGAGGCCCAGCTGAGAAGGAGGGTGGCCGAGTTAGAGCAGATTGATGAGCAGCTGATGGCCGCCCTGGCCCGGAATATTGAGCTGGAGACTCTTCTCCAGTCTAAAGAAGAAGAGTTGGAGGTTGGCCGGGGGGTAGCGGCGGAAGCTGCTGATTTGCGGGTCAAGGTTGCCGCTCTGACCTCCGAGCTTGATGCCAAGGCGGCTGAGATTGAAGTCCTCAAGCGGACTGCTGCGTCAAGGCCTGGTGAGGATGCGCGTCGTGAGGCGCATGATATGTGGGTATACGCCGAGGCCAGATTGGTCGTCTTCGAGGAATTCTTAGCTGCGGGTCGAGCTACCGAGGCAGAGGTTCAAGAGCAACGGCGCATAGTCCCTGTCGCTCGTGAAACCCCAGACCGGGCGGGCTATAACTCCGAAGATGTCAACCGTCTAGAATCCGGCTCTTGGATCTCTGCGGCCTATCAGGCAGAGGACGGGCGGCGGACGAGATGGCGATCCGTCGGAAGGCGTTTGATCAGGATGGCGAGGCCCCTTAGGACTTGTATTTATTTTGTTTTGCTGTACTTGGAAATGTAAATGGGTCCTTTTTGTACATGCATTTTTGGATGATAATGGAAGTTATACTTTTACTGTTCTTTTCTTTCTGTATCTTTTATTTTCGACCTTAGCTTTGTTGATGGTTTTAGCCGTGTGCGCAACTTCGACTATCTTCGAGTTACACGCTGTTATAGTCGAGCTGGGTCGACTTATCGGCGTCGATGGCCTTAGCCATTATAC